AAAAAGAAAATCATACATCACGACCAAGTCGGATTCATTCCAGGAATGCAGGGATGGTTCAATATTTGCAAATCAATTAATTTTGTACACCGTATCAGTAAAGCCAAAGACAAAAACCATATGATCATCTCAATAGATGCAGAAAAAGCTTTCAAGAGTCCAACATGCATTCATGATAAAAACTCTACAGAAAATAGGAATAGATAGTCTTTATCTTAACCTGATTAAAGCCATCAATGACAAATCAACAGTCAACATCATATTAAGTGGTCCTGAGTTCCTTTGATGATGAGAACAGCCAAGTTCATCAGGAAAGCCAGCATGACAGGCTCCTCCAAGAAAACCAACAGCTCCAGGAAAAACAACAGCTCCCTAACAGCTTCTCTTATTTTTTGTCCTTGGTTCTTCTTTTTATGTTGTTGGCAGCAATCCTCAGGTGGGCCTCCCACACCCAGAACCATGCTGGTTTAATTCAGCTGGATGTTGCAAGTTGACCACCAGTTGTCAATCCCCCACAATCCCCCTTAAAAAAGAACCTATACTGATGTCTAAGAATTAGGGTAATTATTCTACCCAAGGTAAAAGCTAACGACTGATTGAGTAGTAAGGATTTGAATGTGATTCTGCCTGGCTTCAGAGCTCTTGTTTGAAAGTACTAGTTATACTCCTTCTATGTTGTTGCTGTCTGAGGTAAGCCCTTCTTTTCTTGCTGTTGGTTTCATACAGACTCAGAAACCTCTTGTGAGCTTTGCGTATCCTTTCTGCTCCTGTTTCTCTAGCCTAGGAAGCCCCTGTGTTTAAAAAATATAATGTGAAAAGCAGGATGTACAGAGACTTTTAGCACTTGGTGATTGTATTCTCTTTCAGAAATCGAAATGGATGGGAATGTTTGCGAGCAAGAAGGATACCTTTGGAGCTATGGACCTTGGGGGAGCTTCTACACAAATCACTTTTGTGCCTAAAAGCCACATTATTGAGTCCCCAGGCAGCTTTCTACAATTTCGCCTTTATGGTGATAACTACAGCGTGTATACACACAGTTTCTTGTGCTATGGGCAGAATGAAGCCCTGCAGCAGAAACTGGCCAAGGACATTCAGGCAAGTATAAATGGATTCAGACCTGCATTCTTCACCTCTTTTCCCAGTCCCCACATCCTGTTATTTTCTCTTTCTAATTTAGTAATTGGTCTGAAGTTGGTTTTGTACTTTCCAAATCTTTTCAGGCAGGACACAAAACTACATCTGGTTGACTCCTATGAATTGTTCCATCCAGACATCCCCTCCTGTGTTTGTTTACTGCACTATCTCCAAGGACACAACTCAGATCTTTTCTTAGAAATTAATTTCTCACCCATGTGGGTAATGAAAGTTACATGCTAGAGTATTGTTCAAGGGGAAGCATTCTTCTAGACCACTTTTTAATATCCCCTTTCTCCAAATTGTAGAAAACACGGTTTTTAGTAATTACCTGGAGAGGAAGAGGAAAAAAATACTTCAGAGAAAACACATTTATCAATCAACCATTCAACTCATATTTCCAGATTATTTCTGCATTTTGAAAAAGACAAGTTAAACACTCAGCCTCATGAGAGTACCAGGCACACCCTGACAAATAAACACAGAGCGAGGTTGTCATATCCAGCTGTTTTGTCTCCACTAAAAGGACAACCAATTCTCTGCTCCCCTCCAAGGAATTCTCTCTCTCTCTGGCTTTGAAAACCTCTGTCAGTAAGATGAACACCATGGAGAAGGACAGAGAGACTGGAGAGAAGGGGTGGGGGGAGAGAGAGAGAACTGAAAAAGGCCACTGAGACTCAAGATTCCACTAAGCTTCTTATTCATCACAGCCTCCTTTCTTCTTCTGGGGGATAGAGATTGAAAATCATTTTGTTGTCACTGGTTTAAAGGACCTAAAGTACTGTCCAGCCCTTGTGGCTTCTGATTCCCTCCCTGATAAGGAGGGAAAGGGGCAGTATGCAATCCTCTAGACTGCTACTTCAGCTTCACAGTTTTGAAAGCCTTGAGAGTTTTCTTTGTGAATCTACTCCTGACCTATGCCATTAAGAGTAAGCACTCAGACACATTCCCAATTAATGGCATTTCTGGGCCCAACTTTTGATATATCAGCATTCTATAAATATACCAGTACCTTTATATCTGTACCACTTTTGGTACCTGTTATTCCCAAGGATGAAAAAAGCAGAGCAAGGACATATGATGCCAATGCTGAGTCCTGGAATGTTATACAAACCTTATACAATGAAGCAATGAAGTCAGACTGAGTATTTTGTGCCTTAAGTATTCACACAAGAGTCTTTCAAATGATTTTTCCACGCAGGTTTCAAGTAATGGAATCCTCAAGGACCCATGCTTTCACCTTGGTTATGAGAAGTTGGTGAATGTAAGTGAACTTTACAAGTCTCCCTGCACCAACAGATTTGAAAAGACTCTGCCATTTGATGAGTTTCAAATCCAGGGTATCGGAAACTATCAACAATGTAGGCAAAGCATCCTCGAGCTCTTCAACACCAGTTACTGCCCTTACTCCCACTGTGCCTTCAATGGGGTATTCTTGCCACCAGTTAACGGGGATTTTGGGGTAAGTTTGTGAAATGATGAGGTATATTAGTTAAAATAATTTTGGTTGCAGGTTATACAATGTGTCTATAGAGGATTTAAATAATAGTGTTCATTTTTCTCCCACAAAATATCTTGAGATAATTCTGGATTAGTTGTTTAGCTCAACACTGTTAGGATTTGGGATCAGTTCCTCCACTATCCTCTTGGACTTCCTGTGGTATTAAGACAGCAGCTACTGCTCCAGGTGTCATATCTTCACATGCAAAGCCAAAACCGGGATGGAGTTTAGGGGGTTCTATTGCACATCTCTCTCTCCTTATGTAGAAATGCCAACAGACACCTCAAGGCTCCTGCGGGAAGTACATCACAGGACAGTGGCTGGCAGAGTAACACTCGGTTGTTAGTTGGCTCCAAACCCAAACTCAGAAGAAATTAGAACCTCACTTGAATGCCATGTGACTGAACTGGCATTGGTTTTCTACTTTTTGGTTTTAGGGGCCAGAGTCCTTACTTTCCTTCTGTTGAACTTTTAGAAGAGGAAGGAGGGTAACACAAGAGAGAAGCGCATAATTAGGGCTGCTTGAGATAGCCAGGAGCCCTTTTCACTCCAGACAGTGCTAGGAAATAAGTCTGAGAGAAAATGAATATATCGTGTGGGTTTACTTTTTAACTTCTTTGAAAGCTTTGCATTCTGGGTAACATGGATTAATTCCTGCCTTCAAATTTGAGCAGATTTCTTCCTCAGGGAATGGAATTTCTTACCTTTGAATGTGATTCATTCAATCAAAATAAGAACATATATGGGTTGAAAAATGGTTGAGGGGCCTTGAGCTCCCCTAGAGACATTTCTGTTTGGTTGCTTAGTCCCTCATTAAGATCTCACCACCTTCTAAACCTCAGTTTGGTGGCTCGTTTAGCTCATTGACTTCCTCAGAACAACATTTCTTCTCTGGATACACCCCTCAAGGTCAGCACTAGCTGGTGCCTATTACTGCTTTGGCAGTTTCTGCTTCAAAACTTTTTTTTGTTCCCTCCAGAATTTCTTCCTAAGGTCTAAATTTGGGTGGGGGTTGGCTTATTACCTATGATGTATAATCAGAAACTCTGGTGAATGTTTAAATTTTTAAAAAATTCTTACAGTAAGAGATATATTGTTTTTTTTTTTTTTTTTTGGTTTTTCTCTGGTACCGGGAACCGAACTCACGACCTTGTGCTTGCCAGGCAGGCGCTTTTGCCACTGAGCTAAATCCCCAGCCCCGAGATATATTGTTATTAATCATCCTCAGAATGCTCCCCCTTGCTTTGAACTCACTTATCCCATCATTGTTGCCACTTTCTGAAACAGTTCTGGAAGTTTTCTTTCATGAATCTCTTTACTTGCACTGTCATGGCTACCTTGACATCCTGAAATGGTTCAGAAAATTTACCTTTCATGGTCACATTAACTTTAGGAAAGAGCTAGAAGTCACATTTTGCTAGATCTGGTGAATTTGGTAGATGAAGACCACTGTAATGTGTTGTTTGTTTTGAGACAGGGTCTTGCTATGTATTCAGGCTAAGCTTTGAACTCATAATGTAGCCCAGGATGGCCTTAAACTCACAGTGATCCTCCTGCCTCATCCTCCTGAGTGCTGGGACTACAGGCATGTGCCACCACACCTGGTTGTAATGTTTTTATTTGAGAGAAAATGCCATAAACATTTGATCAGTGAGAGGTGATCACAAAATATGGCAAGTGTTTAAATTTTAAAATATATCATAATAAAAGATATAGCCATTGATTACCCTCAGAATACTTAAAATACTTCCACTTGCTTTGAACACACATATCCCATCATTCCTGGTAAGGTGTCTTTTACTGTAATAAGATTTAAAATTTTTAAACATTCATCTTATTTTTTAATCACACCTTTATAATATGGAGATTGTAATACTATTTCATTGACAGTTAGTTGTGAACAATACATGCCAGACAGCGACTTGATGGATAAATATCTAACAGTAAATTCTCAGTAGATGAGGAGCTGGTTTGTAGCATTTGCCAATTTCAGTGGTGTTACTGTTCCCACCAGAGCTTAGTCCAAGCTACCAATATCATAGAAAGTAGAAAAAAAAATCCTGAAATTTAACAGTTGGCTCTTGTAATTGTGTAAGAACCAGCCCTGCACACCATGGCAAAGAGAAAAAGCTAACATACCCTAGCATCAGATAAGCTCTTTTTTTTTTTTTTTTTTCTGGTACTGGGAACCGAACTCATGACCTTGTCAGGCAGGCACTGTGTCGCTGAGCTAAATCCACAGCCCCCAGATAAGCTCTTGAAAAGTTTATTTCTTCCTCCTATCAGTCTTAATTCTACACTGCCACTCCTATAGGAAGTCCTCATTCCAAGCTACTGGGACTTGAAGCATAACTATTTGCAGAAACAACAGCAACAAAAATCTATTTGCATTCTTATTATTTCCAGAACCTGTGAGACAGGGTGTTCTCAAACCACAGAGCATTTGTGGAGGAGGGAGTTTTTGCCACAATTGCATTCATCCCTGATGATTTAATTCTAAATCTATAAATATAGTGCTAAAAAACAAGGCTGTAGTAGCCTAGCTGCATTGTGGCCTTGGTTACTAGATTGAATGCAGTGTTATAGGCAAGTAGAAACACCAACAAGGAACAGAGAACATCTGTTAGAAATTCCTCATAAAATAATTTAGGAATTATATTCTTTAGGATCACACCATGCCATTTATGGAAACAAGGAGGTAGAAACAAATTCAATAGGGAACTGGAACTGCGGAACATTTCAAATGCATTTGTTTATACATATGTACAGTTGACCACAGAACAACATGGAGGTTAGGGCATTGATTCCATGATAGCAGCTAAATAGCATAACTTTACAAAAATTTGTTTAAGACCCTTATTAACAGGCACTTGAAATTACTTTTTAAAAATCAAGCTATAAACTTGAAAAGTGCTGGTCAATAGCTATCTAAAGGCAAACTGAAGAATTCCTATAACTGCGCTGGTGTTTCCCTCAAGAATTGGCTTTGAATCCGTTCTGGCAAAGGGACATCTGCTGGTCTGAATCCCCCAAAGCCTGATTCTAAGAGTAGAATCAGGATGATTTTTTTTTTTTCCTTTAAGGGGTCATTATAGCTACAGGAAAAAACTTGGTGGTATGACCTTGAACCATCCGATTTTGAGCAATGTTTTTCTCCTGGTGTATTAAAAGAATTTTTTTTGTCATTCAGTATAATTCTTGAGATTAAAATGGAAGCATTCTAAATAGGTTAAGGTTACTTTTTCATATTGCAATATATATAAATCAAAGAAAAAACCCTAAATGCCACCATTCCGTCCCATCAACAACTTAAATTTTCTCAGTTGAATTCCGATCCATGTTTATATAAGCAATGATCCATTGTAGAAGAAAATTTTGCAATGGATTTAAGATGCTATATTAATCAATATCTGGTGAATATTTGAAAAACATATATCGGGGAGAGCTACACTTAAGCCATGACACATGAAGGCTTCCCCAAAAGTTAAGAAGTGGATGGAATGAAGAAAATAAATGAATGAGAATGAGTTAGTACATGAATAAGGTAAGAGAAATAAGTGACCTTATTCTGGGGCACAGTTGTCTAAGAAAAATTAAAAAAACCATATGCACAGCTCACCTAGCAGAAATTGCTTTAGATTTTAATTGCAAGATGTGGTATATGCTGTAGCTACAAAGAAATGATCTATTTTTATACTTTTATTTTTGGGGAAGTGTAAAGGTATGACACTTATACTTATTTTCAAAATATAAAAAGTAGAAGAAATTAAGACATTGCTCTAGATTTGATTTGATCTTTGTAATAGCAGACCATATTTATAATATTTCCTATTCCTATATAATGACATTCATATGATTTCATATTACATATTTGACTGTATTTTAAGAAAGAATTCTAAACCATAACCTGTTAACAAAGGCGAGAACTAGAAGCAAAATATTGAGGCTCTCTAAACCAATCATTTTCACTCCTCCTTTTTGTGCATGTGGTAAAATATGAGATTTTCCATTTTAATTAATTTTAAGTATGCAGTTCTTTGGCATTAAATACGTACACACTGTTGCACAATCATCTCTGCTATCCATCTACAGAACTTTTTCATCTTCCTAAACTGATAGTCTGCAGCCATTAAACAAAACATTAACTCCCCTTTTTTGTTCCCCTCAGCCACTGATGTTACTACTATTCTACTTTCTGAATGCATTTGGCTATTTCAGATGCCAACATATAAATGAAATCATATATTTACACTTTTGTGACTGGTTTATTTCACTTAACAGAATGTTTTCCATAGAGTAGTCATTCTTAACTCTGCAAAGGATCACAAGGTTCTTTTGAGAATTGATGAAAACTAAAGATCCTCTAAGCAGAAAAATAGGTATGTAGAGGTATGCCAAAGCTTTTGCACTCAATTTAAAAGACTTCTTAATTCTTGAAGTGGACCTTTGAGTCCCTGAGTAAGAGCCCTTAACGTAGACTAAAAATATATATAGAACATAGAGATGAACGTCAAACTGGGCTGGGGATATAGCTCAGTGGCACAAGTGCCTGCCTGACAAGCGCGAAGTCCAGAGTTCTATTCCTGGTTAAAAAAAAAAAAAATTGCTATTGAAAGTCAAACCGTGACCTAAACTGAACACTATCTGGGAGTGGATGTTCTCACTGGTGTCAGTGACTGCATCTATGCAGAAATGTGGTAGAAGCAGACAGATGCCAGAGACAAATGACCCTGAAACTGTAACTACCTAACCTACTGCTAAAATGCTTCCTGCTAGGGAAGAGCCAACCTAATACCTAGTAATGTAAGCATATAAATTGTTAGAGAAGCAAGTTAGAATGAGTAACTAAATTAGCATAAGGGAATGACAAGTCAAGTGGTTGGTTCAGGGCACAGTTTTTGTATAAAACTGTAATCCAGTTGGGTCTCATGATATAGGCCTATAATCACACTATTTCAAAGCCTGAGGCAGAGTACATCCTGGGAAATGAAGTGGGACCCTGCCTTCTAATATTAATAAGGACTGGGGATGTCACCTCATGCTCTCTGGCTTCAATCCCCAGTACCGCAAAACAAGCAAACATATAAAAAACCTGTAATGCCTATTTCTGTGTTTACCTGTAACTACAAGTGCTTCATTTAATTTATATTTCAAATTACAGTCAATATATTTTGATTGGACTTTTGGAAAATGATGTAGCAAAACCCTTTTTATTTCATTATGGACAACTTTGATTTGGCTTTGGGTTAAGTTTCTGTTTTTTCTTCTTTTTCTCCCTTCCTCCCCCTTCCCTCTTTTTCTCCCTCCTCCTCCTTTCCTGTCCCCTTTCTCTCCTTTCCCCTCTCCTTCCTCTCCTCCTCCTTTTTCTAGGTGTTAAACCCAGGGCCTTTGCACTGGGCAATATCCCCCAGCCCCTTTTTATTATTGAGACAGATTCTTGCTAAGTCACTGAGTTGCCCAGGCTGCTCTCATACTTGTCATCCTTCTGCCTCAACCTTCCACTATGCTGGGATTTCAGGTATGCACCACCTTAATCATAAATTTCTAGCTTTGTTCCTGGAAACCTGATAAAAGTGTTACCTACATTACCAGAAAACTGGACTGAAAGTGGTGGCGAAATCAAGCTAAAGAAGGGAACAAAATTTCTTTTTTTTTTTCTGTTTGTTTGTTTTGAGACAGGGTCCCACTATATAGCCCAGGCTGTCCTCAAATTAATGGTGATCATCCTACCTCAGCCTCCTGAGAGATGGGATTTCAGGCATAAGGAAGCAAAATTTCTTAAGAAAGATTAAGATGTATACATTCACTTTGTTAGAATTGAAGCATACGACTTGTTTGCTGCACGAAGTTGCTAGATAGAGGGTAGCTTTACTTTTCTCTGAGGCAAAATTCAGCCTCCAAAGAGATCAGGTCAGTGTCCCTCTATGTTGGAAAAGCTACCTAAAACTGAAATTTTTCTCTTGCAGGCATTTTCAGCTTTCTACTTTGTGATGGATTTTTTAAACTTGACATCAAAGAACCTTTTCTCTGAGGCAAAGATGAATGAGATAGTAGAAAAATATTGCTCGAGGCCCTGGGAGGAGGTAAGTGAAGAGACACAGCAATCGCCCTATGCCCTCAGGAGTACAGAAGACAAGAGTCTGCTCTTAATTTATGCTGATCAAGCAAGATCCATTGAATGTGTTAGAGAAGCCCATGACTTGGGCTCATGAATGAATTGATAATCTGACATACAAAGACTTGAATAAGGTATTATGTGTCTCACCTAATAGGAAGTCTGACAATAAGCAGAAATGGAGCCAGTAGCTCATTTCTGTTTTAGCCATTGCTTCTTCAGTTCAGTTGTTATGCCTATATCTTCATGGGCACAAGATTGCTACTGTGGCCAAGCATGGTGGCACACAACTGTAATCCCAAATACCTAGGAGGTTGAGGCTGGTAGATTGCAAGGTAAAAGCAAGCTTGGGCAACTTCCTAAGACCTTGTCTCAAAATTGTTAAAAAAATTTTTAAAGGGTGGGAGATATAGCTCAGATGTCCCTGAGTTCAACCCCCAGATCTGGGAAAAAATAAAGATTATTGTAACTTCTATGTTCAAGATCAGAACAAAAGTAAAACCAAATATACCTGTTTCTTTTTACAAAAAAAGAAAGGTCATCCCTGAAGCCCCTTCCAGTTTCCCCCTAATTTAAAAAATTTTATTGTTTTATTTTATGTTTGATTGATTAATACACAGTAACTATACATTTTATGGGATATGTGATATTTTAACATATTATATCTATATATATATATACATATATAGCCTGATTAAATAAGGGTATGAGCATATTTATTTCTTAAAACATATATCATTTGTGGCAAGAAAATTCAAAATCCTCTTTACTAGTTCTTTTGAAATACTGTATACAATACGCCATTGTTAATTATGGTCATCCTGCTGTGCAAAAGAGCATCAAAGCTTATTCCTCGTAACTATAACTTTGTACACACTTGCCGGCATCATCTCCCTCTCTACCTGCTCCTCTTCTTAGCCTTTGATAACAGTTATACCTTGACTCAACTGTATGAGATCAACTTTTTTATATTCTACATCTGAGTGAGATCATGTGGTATTTGTCTGAATCTGGCTTAATTAATTTAACATAGTGTCCTACAGGTTTATCCATGTTGTCCAGAATTATTGGATTTCATGCTTTTTAAATGGTTTTCTAGTCTTCTATTGTGTATGTATATTGTATTTTTTTATTCATACATCTGTTAGGTTAATATCCTTTCTTAGCTTTTATGAGTAGTGCTTCAATAAACATAGGAATGCAGATATCTCTTTGACATACTGATTTTACTTCCTTTGGATATTCACTAATCAGTGTAATTGCTGGATCATAAAGTACTTCTGTTTTTAATTTTTTGAGGAACCTCTGTTCTTATTTTTGTAATGGCTGTATTAACTTGCCTATTACCAGTATATAAGGAGTCCTTTATCTCTACATCCTTGTGCTGGGGATTACCTTGTACATGCTAGTTAAGTGCTCTACCATAGAGCTATATCCCTAGCTTTTTTTTATAATAGGCATGCTAAGAGGAGTGAAGCTATAGCTTATTATGTATGTGTGTGTGTGCATGTATGTTTTAACTAATTATAGCTTCACTCTCAATGAATAGGGAATAGGGAAGGGTTAGGGTGCGAATAGGGAAGAAACTGATCAAAAGAAAAGAAAAACTTGTGGGAGAAAGGGGAAAGGAAGGAAGGGTAAAGGAAAATATATACATACACAAGACAGTTAAGATAGTTATACAACTGCTTTCTCTTGGTTCATTGAGGGGAAAATTTTGTGCTAGTAACTTTCTGGACAATGTTTCATGCCTATATCTTATACTCTGAACAACTACTATGAATATAACAATACACAATGTGTTGATTATTGTTACTCTCCTACTAACCTATTTTGAAACTTTGTTTTATTATTAGTTCTTGCTTTTTCTGTTTAAAATTTATATATATATATATATATATATATATATATATATATATATATATATATATATATATATATATATATGGTCCAGTACAGTAATCTGATACAATGTACAATGCTTAGTAATCAAATTAGGGTAATTACCCTTCCATCTTTTTAAACATTAATTATTTCTATGTTTTCAGAAACTTTGTACTTTTGTAGTTATTTTGAAATGTATCATAGGTCGTTGTAGACTATAATGACACCAGAACCAATTCCTCCTATCTAGTTTTGATATCTCTCATCTGACTTCTGTCTGTCTTCCCTGTCCTCTACCATTCACAGTCTCTAGTAACCACTATTCCATTCGTCTCTTGTATAAGTTAATGTTTTTTACTTCCACAAATGAGAATATGTGATATTTTTCATTTCCTGCCTTATTTCACTTAACATATGTCTTCAAGGATACTCCACGTTTCCATAAATAACAGAATTTCATTTTCTTAATGACTGAATTATACATAATTCAGATTTTCTTTATCCAGTCGTCAGTTGATGGACACTGGCTGATCCCATATCTTGACAATTGTGAATCATGCTGCAAAATCTGGGAATTTTACAGATATCTCTTAGATATAATGATATCTTTTCCTCTGACTATATACCTAGTAGCGGGGTTGCTAGATTATATTGAAGATCTATTTTTAAATTTTCAAGGGATCTCCATATTGTTTTTCATAATGGTTGTTCTAGTTTATATTCCTACCAACAGTACGTAACAGTTCGCTTTGGCTGCATCATCTCCCATATTTGCTATTTTTTATTTTTAAATTTTATTAGTACATGTGTGTAGTTCATAATGTCACATTCCTAGTGGGAATTTGGTACATGTACATAACACTTTTTAAAATTCCTTTTTCATCCCCTTTTCCTCCCTCCCCCCGCTCCATCCATGTTTTGAGTCCCTTCTTTTATTCTTCATGTTCGTGCTTGCAGTACAGAATGTTTCCATTCTGTCTGTGGAGTTGGTCCCTGTACAGAACACATCCCAACTCCTTTCTTTTTATTCCCTATCCCTCCCCTCTCTCCCTTCTTCCTTTGTCTCTTGATCCCCCACCCTTTTGAGAAAGGTCTGTCTCTCTACTTCCTTTAACAAACTTTTATTTTGCTCTTTGTTTTCACTCTGGGTTTCTCATATAAGAGAAACCTTGTGGTATTTAAGCTTGTGTGTCTGACTTATTTCACTTAACATTATGATCTCAAGATACATCCATTTTCCTGTTTTTTAATCCATGTAGCCCAGGCTGGCCTCACACTTGGGGCAATCCTTCTGCCTGAGCCTCTTGAATACTGGGATTATAGCCATGTAACACCACACCTGAAAACTTTTATCTTTTTTATAACAGCCATTCTAATGAGGGGAAGCGATATGTCATTGTTATTTGATTTGCATTACCTTGAGGATTAGAAATATAGAGTATTTTTATATACCTGTTGGGTACTTTTATGCCTTTAGATAATTCAGATTTTTGCCCATTTTTAAATTATATAATTTGGAGGGTTTTTTTGCTGTTGTTTGAGTTCTACAGGTTGTCTTTTCACTCTGTTGATTATTTTCTCTGCTATGCAGTGACTTCTATACTCCAACTTGTTTATTTTTACTATTGTTGCATATGCTTTTAGGGTCATATATAAAAAAATCTTTGCCTACACCAATGTCTTTCAGGTCTTATATTAGATCTTTGATCCACTTTGGATTGATTTTTATAAATGGAGAGAGGCAGAAAGCTAGTTTCCTTTTTTACATATGTTTACCTAGGACTGTGCTGTTTTGGTTACTGTAGCTTTGTGTAGTGTATTTTGAAGTCAGGTATTATGAAGCCTCTAGCTTTGCTTTTGTTGTTCGTTGGTTTTTCTCAGTATTGTTTTGGCCATTCTAGACCTTTTGTGGCTCCATGTGAACTTTAGGATTTTCTTTTTCTTTTTTTTTCTTTTTTCTTTTCTTTTCTTAGTACATATGTGTAGTGCATAATGTTTACATTCATTGCGAGAAGTTGGTGCATGTACATAACACATCTTAATTCCTTTTTTCATCCTCTTTCCCTCCGCTCCCACACTCTTTCACTAATCTCTTGCTCCCCTTCCTTTTTTGTACATGTGTGCAGTATTTAATATTTACATTCCTTGTATAAAGTTGGTACATATGCATAATACATCTCAATTCTTTTTTTCTTTACATCCCTTACCCCACATCGCTCAATCTCTTGACACCCTTCTCTTTTGAGAACAATCTATCTTCCTATTTCCATTATCTATTTTTATGTTGTTTTTTGTTTTTATTCTGGGTTTCTCATGTAAGAGAAACCATGTAATATTTAAGTCTGTATGTCTGATTTATTTCACTTAACATTTATGGTGTCAAGGTACATCCATCTGCCTCCAAATGACTCAAATTTATCTTTCCTTATGGCAGAGTAGTATTCCATTGTACGTGAATACCATATTTTCTTTTTCTTTTTTCCTTTTTTATTTTAAAGAGAAAAAAATCCAAAAACAAAATACCAAAGGCATAAACAAAACAACATTAAAAAGTAAAAATGATACAGAATTTCAAGATAATGTCATAGAAAATTAATGGTTGTGGTATTACATGGTGTTATCTTCAAAGTGGTTATGCAGATAACCAGACCTAGTCATGTAAGATTGATTAAACAATTAAACCTTAATTGTGCCTTTCAATAAACCAATAGGACTTAGTAGTATAATAACCTTAGCTATCTTGTGTGTGTGTGTGTGTGTGTGTGTGTGTGTGTAAATTTTTCCTTTCTTTCATTTCTCTTTTCCCTCATCCCAGGTGTTCTTTCCTTTTGAGCAATTTCTTTCCCTTTCACAATATCTATTGTACTTTTAAACTTTTATTTACACTTTCAGTTTCTTACACTAGGGAAGCAATATGATGTTTACTCATGTGAGTCTGATTTATTTCACTTATGAATATGGTCTCTAGTTGCATCCATTTGCCTATAGAAGTCTCTAGTTTATTTTCTTTATAGCTGAGTAATACTCCATTGTATACAATACCACAATTTTTTTATTCATTCCTCAGTTGATTGGCATTTGCAT